GGCTATTTGTATCTTCCTTGCTTATGCTTCCTATATGAACTTCACAGTATACCAAATGGATGTCAAGATGGCTTTCTTGTACGACAAGGTCAAGGAGGATATCTATGTTGACCAACCACCCGGTTTTGTTAACTCCAAACTTCCCAATCATGTTTACAAGTTAGAAAAAGCTTTGTATGGACTGTATTAAGCTCCTCGAGCTTGGTATGCTACCCTGACTCAGCATTTGCTCAATCACGGCTATTCCCGTGGCACCATTGATCAAACCTTATTCCTCAAACATGTCGGTCCTGATCAAATTCTTGTTCAAATCTATGTTGACGACATTATTTTTGGATCGACAAGCCAATAACTTTGCAAAGAGTTCGAAGCAGTGATGAAGAAACAATTTGAGATGAGTTCGCTTGGGGAAATGACCATGTTTCTGGGGCTTCAGGTCCAACAATCTTCAACCGGAATCCTTATTCACCAAGAAAAATATGTGGATGATGTACTAGAGAAGTTTGGGTTCCGAGACGCGAAACCTGCTCTGACACCCATGACAGACAGACCTCTTCTGACCCCTGATATTGAAGGTGAATCTGTAGATCAGACGCGTTATCGATCAATGATCGGATCACTCATGTACCTAACTGCCAGTCGACCAGACATCATGTTCGCGGTTTGTCAATGTGCTCGTTACCAAGCTAATCCTAAACTATCTCATTTACTTGCTGTTAAACGGATTTTTCGGTATCTCAAAGGGTGCCCAAAACTGGGTCTTTGGTATCCGAAAAATCCAGAATTTGATCTTTATGCTTTTGCAGACAGCAACTATGGCGGGTGCGAGCTTGATAGAAAATCGACTTCAGGCGGATGCCAATTTCTGGGTGATAGATTGGTCTCATGGCAGTGTAAGAAGTAGCATACCGTTTCCACCTCAACAGGAGAAGTGGAGTATGTCGCTGCATCTGCTTGTTGTTCACAAGTCATCTGGATCCAACATCAGCTGTTGGACTATGGTTTGAATTTTCAAGAAACCCCTCCTTTCTGTGATAATGAGGCTGCGATCCAAATTGCTAAAAACCCGGTCCAGGACTCCAAAACCAAGCACATCGACATCAAGATTCATTTTATTAGAGAATGTTATGAGCGTTCGCTCATTCGGCTAGAACAGGTCCGCTCTGATAATAATGTAGCAAATGTGTTCACCAAGCCATTTAACAAAGCTCGATTCGATGTGCTGGTTAAGTTTCTAAAAATGATTCATTTCGAGGATTAATTTTTTTTTCTTAGGATAAATTTGTGCATTTTTTTATTGCTTTATGCACAAATTTATGGGGAGAAAATCAGAAAATCCAAAAACATTAGAAAATTAGAAAATCCAAAAACATTAAAAATTAGAAAATCCAAAAACATTAGAAAATCAGAAAATCCAAAAACATTAAAAATTAGAAAATCCAAAAACAGGTCCGGCTAGAACAGGTCCGCTCTGATAATAATGTAGCAAATGTGTTCACCAAGCCATTTAACAAAGCTCGATTCGATGTGCTGGTTAAGTTTCTAAAAATGATTCATTTCGAGGATTAATTTTTTTTTTCTTAGGATAAATTTGTGCATTTTTTTATTGCTTTATGCACAAATTTAGGGGGAGAAAATTAGAAAATCCAAAAACATTAGAAAATTAGAAAATCCAAAAACATTAAAAATTAGAAAATCCAAAAACATTAGAAAATCAGAAAATCCAAAAACATTAAAAATTAGAAAATCCAAAAACAGGTTCGGCTAGAACAGGTCCGCTCTGATAATAATGTAGCAAATGTGTTCACCAAGCCATTTAACAAAGCTCGATTCGATGTGCTGGTTAAGTTTCTAAAAATGATTCATTTTGAGGATTAATTTTTTTTTCTTAGGATAAATTTGTGCATTTTTTTATTGCTTTATGCACAAATTTAGGGGGAGAAAATCTGAAAATCCAAAAACATTAGAAAATTAGAAAATCCAAAAACATTAAAAATTAGAAAATCCAAAAACATTAGAAAATCAGAAAATCCAAAAACATTAAAAATTAGAAAATCCAAAAACAGGTCCGGCTAGAACAAGTCCGCTCTGATAATAATGTAGCAAATGTGTTCACCAAGCCATTTAACAAAGCTTGATTCGATGTGCTGGTTAAGTTTCTAAAAATGATTCATTTCGAGGATTAATTTTTTTTTTCTTAGGATAAATTTGTGCATTTTTTTATTGCTTTATGCACAAATTTAGGGGGAGAAAATCTGAAAATCCAAAAACATTAGAAAATTAGAAAATCCAAAAACATTAAAAATTAGAAAATCCAAAAACATTAGAAAATCCAAAAACATTAAAAATTAGAAAATCCAAAAACATTAGAAAATCAGAAAAATCCAAAAACATTAAAAAACTAGAAAATTAAAAAAAAAAAAAAAAAAAAAAAAAAAAAAAAAAAAAAACAAAAGCAGAAAAGCAGAAAATCCAAAAAAAAAAATCAGAAATTTTATTATGCTTAAAGGAGGTGGTTTGGGAAGTGATAAGATTATGTCTAACGTACCCAAAGTTGAAGGGTCTATGCTCTGGCTTGATGTGTCAGTAGGCACGAAAGATTCTAAATGGACATGACTAGGTAGAGTTGAACTTAAAAAATCAAATAACTTGACAAATCTTAACCTAGATAGTTCCGTTTAGCCTGACAATACGACGCTTGGATAGGTTGAGCAAGGAGATTTATATATGAGAATCTACTCGTCACATTAATTGAACGCGTACTTGGAACCGTGGTTTAATTTTTCCTCAATGTGTGGATTTTGTCCTTAATTCCGATTGGATGGAGCGACTGGTAAATTCCGATAAATTAGGTTTGTAGAAAATCGTTTTCTTTCTTTCTATCTGTTAGTCATATGTTGTCTCCTTTGCGTGACTTCAAATCTGACCTGGTACACAACATATGCAACTCTATTTCTCTGCAAGTTATATATATGAAAGTCCTCTTATCTGTTAGCCATATGTTGTCTCCTTTGCGTGACTTCTAAACCGACCTTGTACACAGCATATGCAACCTTCTTCTTCTCAACCCCTCTGAAGTAATAAGTAATTAGTAATAGAATTCTGAATCTATCCTCTCTCTAAATAGTTGTTTGCTCACCCAGTCTAAGAAGTACTCTGGAAGTTCTTGATGGCTGGGGCATATCAGGAAGCGGGAAACACGTTCTAGTACACTTAAAATTGAACACATACAGATTGTCTATAGATCTCGCTGCTCAATTTAGGTGGACAACAATATCCCTGGTCGTCATCAGATGAATGGTCCTTAAGATATAGTATCTAAGGAATTAGGATCAGATATAAATTTTTAGGTTCTTAAGTTCACCCCTGTCTTGTAACAAATAGTATGTCCTAAATTTGTCATAATTTTTTGTGTTTAAGTGGATAACAATACCGACGATCGACCAGACAAAGACGTGAAGATGGAAGGTACCGACAAGTGGATAAAGATTGTCTAAAAACTTTGATCCCTAATTACAATTGGTATCAATCTATATAGGATTAAATAGATTTTTATTCCTAGTCATTAATAGTATTTCAATTTTTTTATTATTCCATTTTAATTTTATTTTTATTTTTATTTTTATTTTTTAATAATAAAGTTTTATTTTGTTTTAGTTTTTATTTTATTTTTTTTAGGAATTTTGAATTTAATCTATTAATCCTCAAAATATTTCATTTTTTTGAAAATGGTGAAGCGGAAGGGGGCATCGGTTTTACTATTAAAAGGTAAGGGGGAGAATTTAAAATTTTTGGTATATATATAGCGTGTCTGCGGTGAGTATTTCACCACCATTTCTCTTACCTCAACCGCACACACTCATCTGTTTCTCTCTAAATCTCATTCATATTCCATTTTTTCTCGTGAAATCAAAGCCTTTACTCGGTAATTCTCACGAACACGGCACATTTTTTGATTATTTTCACAAAAAGTTTTCATAGTTTGCTGTTGAATCTTCATCAAAATTGTTTGTCTTCAAAGGTAACCGCACATGTGCGTGTGCGGCTATCCGTATGCGGCTGCATTATTTTATGTATGAGCGTGTGCGGCTGACCGTCTACAGCTGCACACGTGCGTGTGCGGCTGTGTGTAACTCCGTGTGCGGCTACATCATTCTCATAGTTTTGCCCTAATAATTCTGTGTGCTGACTTTCAGATTAAAATGGGAGACATGGAGTTCGCTAAACTCTACAATTCCGCAATTTTTCTTGAAGACCCTCCTGCAGCCCACAATGACTTGAAATTCATTGTGGAAGGTTAGAAGAAATCCTGCTTGGTTCATGCCCTAACTACAAGTCCTACTATCTACCAAAGTTTGATTAAGGATTTCTGGAGGAATGCTGCTATAAAGAAGAATGATCAAGGTGAAAATTTTGTGGAAGCAATAATCGAAGACAAGAAAATTCAAGTAACAGAAAGCATCATCAGAGAATCTCTCCAAATTGAGGACAGACCTGAGTACCCCATGGAGATTGACGTTCATCAAACTGAGGAAATCTTAGCACATATGGGATACGCATGAACTTTTCCTCCTACAATCAAGAAGCTGCTTCCTCCATGCTGGAAGATTTTGGCTCATGTGCTCGTAAGCTGCATTTCTGGCAGGAGATCATGAGCAAACGAGATTTCTCTGGCCAACATTGGTGCTATTGCAGCATTAGCGGCAGGTTTTGAGTTCGATTTCTCAAAATTTATAATGAATGAAATGATACTAAATCTTGAAGGGAGCAAGAGAGACAAATTTTGGATGTATCCAAGATTTTTACAAATCATTCTTAACGTAACTCACCCTGAGCTGCAGAGAGGAAATGATACTCTGGATTTCAAATACATTGGTCCAAGTGCCTTTGGACTAATGAAGCAAAAGAGAGGCGGGAAGTTCGTATTTGAAGGAAAATTTCCATTAATAAAATTTGGAATTTTTAAAGAGGATGTTAGAGAAGAATCAGAAGAACAATCCATGCCGATGGAAAACGAAGATATTTCTCACTCTCCTTTCGAGCCTGAAGTTAAGGAGATTCATGACTCTCCCACAACTTATGTAGCTGATGAGCATGATAATCAGAAAGCAAATGAATCAAAATCTTCTCGAGAGGACGATGACGATGATCTTTATGATGATGTGGAGTTTCTAAAAGAAATTGACTTTACAGGAATCAATGATGACATTCCAACAAACATAGAGTTTGATCTTGGTGATGAAGATTTTGATCCTTTTCTTGATATTCCCAGCAGCCGTGTAAATAAAGTCAATGACGTTGCTTCTTTAGCAACCAAGACTAGAGATGAAGGAAATTTTCTCAAGATTCTACTCTCTAGTTCAAAGCCCTTGGAGGTCGCAACAAGCCAAGGAGATGTGACATCAGAGATTCCTCCCTCTGTGTCACTTGTCTCAACATCTGCTCCATTCATTTCTGATTTATTTGAACCTCATACTTCTCATACTTCCATGGAAACAAGTCAATCTCTTGAAAGTCTGGAGGTACCCACTGTGAGATGTGCTCCTCAAGTTATTTCAACAATCACTGCTAACTCTGCTCACTTTCCTCCAAAGAAAACAGATGAAGGTCCAAGTACCATGTTCGTGATTGGTGGATCCTCATCCATTCCAAAATATTCTCCAACTCAACCTTCTCTAGATGAAGCTTCTATCAGATTAGTAAAACATTTGGCTCAATCTAGTCCAACCTCTTCACGAGGGAAAGGAATTTCACTTAAAGAGGGTTGGACATATGATTACAAATCCTCTTCGCCTGATCTTCGAGAGGAGATTGGAATTCTCCGTCAACAGCTCATCGAAAAGTAAATTCAGATGGATCAGCTTTCTGCACACATCTTTGAGCTCAGGGCGAAGGATGAAGAAAAGACCAAACAAATTAATGAACTACAAACGAGTCTTGGATCTATACTAGCTAATTATTTCAATCTCAAGAACGTTCTGTACGATGCATTTGGTGAAAAAGTCAAAGCCCTTTTCCAGCTGCCTCATGGAATAGCTGATCCTCCCTCAGTTCAATCACCTCCTGCAACTGATGATCTCTCCATCAACCCACCTGCTCCAACAACAACTACAGTTGTCAACAGGTTTGAAAAAGAGCCAGAAGGAAGCAGAGCCAGATTCACAATCAAACAGGGAAAAAGAACCGTAACTGCAAATCAAAGCGAAGGACTTTTATTCATGAAAAATTATAATGAAAATCGCAAAACAAGAGACCCTGTTTTTGTAGTAACAAAAGAACATGGTTTGGAATGAGGAATTAAAGATTGCACAATGAACATGGTGATTTGGGTGTTTAAGAGATGTATAGATTGTATATGGTGTTACAAAAAGGATCTAGATCTAGACTACATAAATAACACACACTTACACACTCACTTTTACATCTCTCAAGCACACCTCTACAAGTGGTATGAACCCACTATTTATAGAGGTGTTTATATGTCTCTCTCTCTCTCACTCTCTATCTCTCATGTGTCACAAGGCTAATACTCCACATGCTAGTGGGTTTCTCAAAAGTCAAACATTACAAAGTCATTCATGGAAAACTTTGTACCCTAACATTCTCCCCCTCAAAGTTAGGAATGAATGACCCACTTCAAATCTTCCAAAATCAAGCAACTATGCGGTTCGAGCCTCAAAGGTGACACATGTCGACACAAACTTCAATCTTCAATTCTTCCATGATTCTTCAATTTGGGCTCTAGGATGTGAGACAATACAATCCGAGCAGCAACGAATGATCAAGAGTATTCCAAATCCAAATAATCACCCTAAAGTTGCGCATAAAAACACACCCCCAAAAATCATCAATAATTCCAAATCCATTTCGAATACATCACTTCCGAACTTCCAATTGCATCATCTCGTAGGCTTCAAAACTTCAAGATCACTTCGGTCTTCAAATCTGCGTGATATGAAAAATTCAAGTTCGAATTTCCATATAAAACTTCTCCTCCTTGTTATAATTGAAATTTGATTATAAAACTCTAAGGAAAAAGAACGTGCTCTATTCGGAATTTTTCATGTCAAAACTCCCCCGTAACATGTGGCATAAACTTTGTGCTTCAATCCAGAAAATACAAAAAATATTCAATTTTTATCTTCGTTCATGGATTGTCTTTGACAAAATTTCTCAAAAATGGGTAGAAATTGTCAATTTCAAAATTCTGCAGTGACCCGTTGCGCCAAAAACAGCCAAATATGCGAAACACACCCCCATTTATGAAACTGGGTAGAATGTGTAAATTCGCACAAACTGCAGGGACAAGAACTGAAAATTCTGCAATTTCGTCATTTTATGACCCCATTTGCGAAGTTGGGTCAATTTTGCCATGTTTTTGAAATTTCAGGGACTAATTTCGAAACTTGTGTGTTTTCTTCCCCAATTCATTAACCAATGAAATACTTCGCATTGTCAATTCTTCGCACGTGAAACATGGATGCGAACGAACAGTATCAGTATCTTATATGCGAACCATTTTGACCATGTATGCGAACATCTCTAAAACATCACAGATTGCGAATCTTGTTTGACAAACAAACAAATTGCTACTAGATGCAAACAACCCATATCACAACCTGCGAACATTCTTGGCCTTCAAACCAGTTAACCAAATGTGAACCCTTGTCAATCTCTAACTGAAGCTGATGCCTGTTTGATGCGAACGTTTCCAAGAAAACAATTTCGCATTCATCATAAATAACAAACGGTTTTGACTTCAAACCAAGCAATCAAATTTTCAAAATCAAATTCGCAATCATCAAAATCAGAATATGCGAATCTAAAATCGATTAGCCCAAATTCCATTTTTCTTGACTTCGCATCGATCATCTCAAAAACAAGTTTTCGCACATCAATTCTTCAATCTAGCCTTCGTTTTCATATTCCTAATAAAAAACGGAATCGTCATATTGATTCACGAAATTGATTTCCAATCGCATTCAAATCTATTCACTATCGATTGCGAGTCTCAGTTCGTTTTTCAAACCATCTTCTTCCCAAAGTTCGTTCATCAGCTTTATACATCAAAAACCAACAATCAAACTTGCGAACTCACATAACCAACTCTCGATGCTTACATCGAACTCACAACTCAGTTTATCCAAATCGATTTCAAAAAAAGTATTCAAGATGCGAATATGAACTGTGTTCGACATCAAGAAGTAAAACTCAAACAATTTTCGAAATTAACTCCCAAATTGAACAACATTTCGACATCCACGGCCCATGTTCAACTTGTATCAAACAATTTCAGCCTTCAATTCAGCGATTCATCAATTGAAGATTGAGTTTGACTTTTCTTTTCTGAGTTTGACTTTTCGAAATCGGAAGTCAACAAACACAATATTGATAAATCTAACCCAAACTTTCATATCAAAGAGTGTTCAAATAACTGTTCTAACCATGTTCTTCACAAAAAATTGAGATTTCTTGATCAATTTGATCAAACTCAAAGAATGGATCAATAACTGGTTGATCATTATCGGCTTATCAAACACAACCGATTCACAATTCTGATGAACAGGAAATTCTTATCGATTTTTCAGAAATCAAACTTGAATACAACGAAATCGAACTTCAAAATCAATTGTTTAAGAAGATATATAATCTGATAGTACATGTACAGGAAGCGTGTGTACAAGTCAGAATATGAACATCTATCGATGATTAAAATGATTCAATGAGTTACGATATTAACGATTTTGGGCTCAAATTATTAATGAACAGTGAAGAGTTCTTTTGGATCATAAACGGATGAAATATTGGGCTCATAACTTTTAGGATATCGAATTAAACACTTTTTGGGCTCAATGGATGGACATGAACAGTAGATGAAGTTTCAATTGTGCTTAACACGACTTGATGACCACTTATACGATTGATTTCATTCAAAATAATAATTGCAATTGTAAAATCAATTTGAACGAACTGATATTAGATTGGATCGAACCTTGACCAACAAAAATTATTGGATCACAACAAATGGGTTTTTCAATAAAATTTTGATCCAACGAGTCAAATGATCACAAATCAAAAACGCAACGCACGAATTCAATGAAATTAAGAGAGATCATAGAGAGATACTCACCAAAATTGCTCAAATTGCGACAAAAGTTGCCAAACCGAGAATCGTTCTTCAAAAGTCACGTTGATCGTGAAAACCAAGCTCTGATACCAATTGTGGTGACATAAGAACATGGTTTGGCATGCGGAATTAAAGATTGCACAATGAACATGGTGATTTGGGTGTTTAAGAGATGTATTGATTATATATGGTGTTACAAAAAGGATCTAGATCTAGACTACATAAATAACACACACTTACACACTCACTTTTACATCTCTCAAGCACACCTCTACAAGTGGTATGAACCCACTATTTATAGAGGTGTTTATATGTCTCTCTCTCACTCTCTATCTCTCATGTGTCACAAGGCTAATACTCCACATGCAAGTGGGTCTTACAAAAGTCAAACATTACAAAGTCATTCATGAAAAACTTTGTACCCTAACAGTTTTGACAGTAACGGATTTGAAGAAAAGAAAGTTCAGTGATGAATATGGTGACAGGACATGTATCCGAATGTGGGCCTTTGATCCAGTGATGAATTTGTGGGTTGTAAAGTGAAAATCAGGAGCATCTGAATGTTACAAAAGCACCCATGATTTCAACTCTTGGACCAAAACTGATCTAGCCGAGTTATCCAGGGCCCCATTCCATAACCCCTCCGAAGATCCTAGTGCTTCAAATTTCAAAAGATTTATCGACAGACAGGTCAAAGAAAATTTTCCTTCAATGAAGACTACAAAAGCTCTATATAGAAAAGACAAAGATGTTCTTGATCCAGAATCGGGCGAACCCATGAAGATCATACTCTGGCCTGCAACTAAGAAACAAAAGGAAATTCCTATTCCTCAACATTTTCATGAGGGATATCTGGATGATATGGAATTTTGGGCTTATGATGACGAAACTGCTACTGCAGCTATCAAATTCAAGAATCGAGAACATGTTCTGAGATTGATTAGTGCTAAAGATCTTCTTCGTTCAGAGATAGGGATATACGAACTCTGGCCCGTCATCAAATCATTTGCAGAAAAGATGTCATGGAAGCTGCTGCTAAAGAATTCACTGCAATGGTGGCTACGATCATAAATGGAAGATTGTGGATGGGATTGATGGAGAGATCAAATGAGAGGTTGTTTGAGAAGCCTGCTGAGAAGCCAAACGAATGAAGGTCAAAACCATGCTAGTCTCAAACCAAGGGGGAGATTGAAAGTCCATAATTTTGTGGTTTGAGCTAGTCATAATTTTTGTATAGATCTATTCAGGGTGTCTGAGTGTGTATTGCAGAAGTGCTTGTATTGGGCTTACAATGTGTGCTGCCACACATGTCTACGGTTACACACTTTTGTGCTGGTAGGTGAAGTACTATTTATAGCAACTGTGTTGTGTCAGACTGGATAATCTTTTTGGAGGGGGCGGGTGTCAGAACTCTGCAGTAGTTGTACTTTATCAATATGTACTTAACATTTACCTGCAATAGATGTGTGCATGCTTGATTCTACTTCTTCTTCTTCTTCTAGATCTCACCTTAATTGCGATTAACTTCTTTGATTACTAAAATTGGATCCTCAGTTTTGGGACTAACAGTTTTAATCATTTTTAATAATTTCATTAATATTTTTACAGTTATCAATATTTAATAGTAAAAGTGTCGATATCACATATTTTAAAATGCATTTGTGAATTTTTTTCATACATTAAAAAACTAATTTTTATTATTTTATAATAAAAACTTAAATTGAATTAGATATTTATTTGATTTGATTTGATTGGGTTATTCGATGTGATATATGAGATGCTTTAAAAATCTTCATTATCAAAACTTTAAAATTTTACGAAAAACAAAAATGTCAAAAAGTTTTAAAGACTTTGACAACATAAAAAAATTGACAGCCGATAAGAAAAAGTCAAAAAAATAAAGAATAAGTTATATTTAAAAAATAATTGGAATGTAAAAAAAATCCCCACAAAAAAAGCGATTTCTTGAAAATCTAAATTTGATTGCATCGTGAGTTAAATTCATGGCTAAAACCAAAGGATTCAGCTGAAATCGATTAAAGTTAATTTAAAATTTTTTAAATGGATTACTAGAGATAAATAAAAATTGAATAATTAAAAAAATGTTAAGATGCTATATGTCAGCTTATAGATAAAGGTGAAACTTAAATATAAACTCTAGAAAAA